TACATTCAGTCACATAATGGGGTTGATTAGGGTGAAAGTGCTAAAAAGTAATATATATAAGTTGTTTACTTCATCTGCATTCTTCGATTCAACGCCGTACATGCACAATCGAAACGACGTAAATCCTACACCAGAAATTTGGAAAGAGGCAACAAAAAAATGGAAAGGGGGTGAGAGGAAGAATGTATACGAAACAAATATTGAAGTGGTATGACTAAATTCATACTATTATGACCAACAATTTACGCTTGAAACATCATCTACTTACAAATACTGCACATCAATAAATTAAATATTCCCACAGTAAAATTTAAAACAAAACATTTTAGCGAACAATATTGTGTTCAATTAGATCTCATCAGGCTTAACTCTATTATATATATAAGTTTACAAGTAAAAATTCAAATATACACCAATCATGGTGTTTTGTCTATAGGATAATACGATGGTGAATATAAATTGTGCAATTAGTCATAGTAATAATAATAATAATAGTAATAATAAAAATGGTCTTATCAATAATAAGGATGAAATAGTGAGGCAATCTGTGATAACACGAATAATGAAAAACAGCATGATTAAACAAACAACTGTTCAGGTGGAAGTAGTCGATAAAGGCTAGTAAAAACAAATGAACCGACTAGGTAATGTTAGATTGTAAGGGAAGGAAATGAAACACGTTTGCAATGAAAATAAGATTAAGGGATGATGAGAAAGGGGTTGAAAATATAAACAAAGGATGGTGTAGAAGTCATTAGTTGGTTATGTCTTAATAGGCCAAGGGAGGAATAATGGTTGCACGAACTTTTTCTGAATACATAGTTTAGGTTTAATAGTTCGAATGCCTATCGCCTCAACTGTGTGCAGTAAATGAATACGAAGTGTATTGCAAATATTCGGTGGGATAGGATGAATTACTTTGAAGGCTCTCGTTTTCTCGATTACATGACCACTATCAATTAAGTGTGACAAAATTGAGCTACGAATAGTTTTTGTCTGTCCTCTGCCAAATCACGATGGGAGATGTTCACTAACACGTTGGCTAAGCTGTCTAGTAGTACGCCCAATATAACTGTCACCACAGGTGCAGTTGAATTGATAAATGCACATAGATGTGGCAAAACTATCAAGCTTATCCTTCGTTTGCGTCCCGATCATTCATCGGCTAGAGAATGACAAACATAGGTGTGCTGCACAAAATGTTCTTCGTATACTCCTTGAAAGTCTTTGGAATAGAATTTCACTTGATAAGTCACCATTAAATTATAACTTTATAAATAGAGGTTTCTTACGTGCAGTCAGAGTCTCCGGTTTTTTCTCGGATGTTTTCATATGCTTCTTTATGAAACAACTTGGATAGCCCATCTCCATCAAGGAACCGTGAATATATTCAAATTCCTTTTGTAAGAGGTCATCCGTACATATCTTTCTTGCTCTGCTCGCAAGACATTTTACAACGTTCCTTTTATATTTAATGGGCAAGTAACTAAGTGCTTTTTCTATACACGCTTCTCCCAAATGACCCACATTCTCTCCTACTTAGCAAGACATCCAGGAAATGTATTTTATTCTCCTAATCCTCTTCACAAGTAAAGGTAAGCGAAGGGTGGATGTTGTTGAATTTCAGTGTTGAATTTCGTCTATGTTAAAATTCCCATCAGCTAAGAGAAATGTATCATCGACATATCGGTAGTACATTTCAAACTGCTTGATGATGTCCTTCAATTTCCCGTTTTCAAGTTTTGCGAGAAAGAAGTCAACTAATATTGGGTCTAATGGTGAACCCATAGCTATCCCATCTACTTGTCGATAGTATGAATTATTAAAGACAAAGTGAACATTCATTGTGCATTTAAGAAGTAATTATTTGACGCTACACAAGGGGTTCCTAAGTCTAATTGCCTTGGCCTATTAAGACATAACCAACTAATGACTTCTACACCATCCTTTGTTTATATTTTCAACCCCTTTCTCATCATCCCTTAATCTTATTTTCATTGCAAACGTGTTTCATTTCCTTCCCTTACAATCTAACATTACCTAGTCGGTTCATTTGTTTTTACTAGCCTTTATCGACTACTTCCACCTGAACAGTTCTTTGTTTAATCATACTGTTTTTTCATTATTCGTGTTATCACAGATTGCCTCACTATTTCATCCTTATTATTGATAAGACCATTTTTATTATTACTATTATTATTATTACTATGACTAATTGCACAATTTATATTCACCATCGTATTATCCTATAGACAAAACACCATGATTGGTGTATATTTGAATTTTTACTTGTAAACTTATATATATAATAGAGTTAAGCCTGATGAGATCTAATTGAACACAATATTGTTCGCTAAAATGTGTCGTTATAAATACTGGATATGTGAAATAAACTTATCTACTATGGAATTAGTTCTGTTCGGTATTTTGGAATGCTGTCTGCATAGCAATACCATAAGCAAGGAGAAGGTAACCATCCAAAATTTGCTACTTATATTTCATTCTGTTGAGTCTAATGGTCTTGAATTTCAACCGTGAGCATTAGTGGCGGCGACTGAGCTTTCGTAAAAGTAGCTGTTGGTGCAGGCAGCACACCTCTAATTCAGTCTAATTCTCTAGGAGACTGAGAGGATGTCATCATAAGACGAGTCTTCGAAAGAGGGCTTAGAAGGTGATTCAAGGGTTATTCTAACTGACTCTGTGGTCAAATTACAAGAGAGGATCTTTCGCATGCCGTTATTCAGTAGGGCGAGATTACTAGGTTTTTTGTCAAGGAACAGAATTCATTAGGGACTCGTCTCAGCTAGGAATTACTGATGCTGTTTTCTTCTTTACGTGACTGACATAGCACTGACAGTATTCGCAGGTGGTATTAAGTTGTGTAAGGCTTTAGATAAATATGGTGACCGACTGGCTTCGTAAGATTTAGATATATTTGCTAGACAATGTAAACTCTGGTACCTTGAGATTATAGGCAAATATGTCTTTATATTTATGCAAACAGTCATTCAATAGGTGCCATCGTGATACCTGCAGTTACTGACTATGGGTGCAGTTGTAAACCATGGCCTGCAAACCTTAGCTGCCTGATAATTTATTAATTTTATATGATAAATATATTTAGATCATAAATTAATTTGGGACTCTTCACTGTACGCACCCACCACAGTGGGTTTGAACACAGGACCTTCTGGTTGCAAGGCAAGCTCGTAGACGATTGAGCCACTGGGACCCGATCCAATGGCGCATTAGTTCTAACTTCTGCCAATTCACGAAATAGCACGACCATTTCGCAATATCTTCTTCGATGAGTTACTGGCTCATTTACAACCTGCTGTACCTTGCTGGTCACGGCTTCCCACTAGAAACCCAGGCATGCTGAGTTAATCAGAATTAGAACACAGGCAATATCCAGTAACAGGTGACACAGTCGCAGAACTTATTTCAACGAATGACGGCGAAATTGTCACCAAATCTTAGGCACTATTGATAGGATGCCCTGTTTAAAACTTGTTTGGTAGAAAAGACATTTGCGTCGGTGGCATAGTGGTTAGGACTCTCGCCGACCATACACATGGTCCGGGTTCGATCCCCTGCCGGCGCACACCCGATATCTATGGTTGGCCTGTAAATTTGGGCTACCGATATCCATGCTGAAAATTCCATACTTGTACTGAAAATACGGTGTGGAATCAAGCTGTAATCAAAATAAAATTAAAAAAATAAACTTCTAGAAATTCAGTGAAAAACTACGTTTATGGAAATCATGATAAGCGGATCATTAAGGCTTATCACATCTTTTTTCTGCACGTTAGATAAGCGAAAATCTGGAAAGAGGTAATACAGGAGGGTGGCAGGTACATTCGTCTCTCTGATCTCAACAATTTGGTCTGAGGAGTGGCCCATCAACGTGGCGTAATTCATAGACATGCGAATATGGATGTCACATGGCCTTCATATGATGTACACACCCAGGTGAAAACAACTATTTTCGTCAGGCAAAAGTATAAGCAGAAATTTATTTGTTTTTGGAACTGGACTGCAGACCCCCCAACTTATTCTGTACTACTTCGCACTTAGACGACAGCAAATATAAATTGCAGTATTTCTAGTGATGGTTATTTCTGCTGACAGGATTCTACAGCCATATACAGCTTTCTCATAAATGCATAAACCACTCCGTCAAATTTGAAATATAATGTGCCAAAATTCAGGATTGTAAGAGTTTTATAGACTGTCGTTTTATTTCCCCACTGTTCCAATTTCCCAGCACCATGAAGTGGGTTGTTAGCCACTATAGAGACAATATTTTGATGCAATACTTCGTGCTTCGTTCAGGAAATGCACAAGGGAGCTTGAAGTCGCTTGAATGGAGAGTCATCTGTCTAGTCGCATGACTGAGACCCAGCCTAATATATCAAGGTAGGCTAGGACTGAAAAGATTGAACGAATTCTCGAAGCGTCACATATAGGATGAAAATTAACGTCTTCACTTGAGGAAGTATTATAAAGTTAATTCCGAAGTCAGTAAATGGAAATCAGGATTTCAGTTCTAGAGTGTGAATGCGGTAGTTTGTTGAGTGCGTTACACTTCAAGGTTGCGTACGGCGTTTGCTGTCTCTACTTATTCGGTCGTTTTGGAGTCTTTTGAAAATAAAACCAGCGTGTAGACATCAGGCACAGTTGGATGTAAGCTGATATATATACATATATATAGAAGACTGTTGGTTAATTATTTAAGTCTTATGAATGACCCAAGAAGACTACACAATACTTCTCTGTTCCGCCTGCTAAACTTTGAGCTTTTTGTGAAACCAGTAAGTCGCTGATTTAGAATTATCTTGCAAGAACAGGGTAGTGACTTACTTCGGTTTAGTTGCTTTTTCTGGTTGCATTGGCTATTTGATTGTACTCAACACAAGGAAGCAGCATTCTCAGGAGCTAATAACAGATACGAATCACTTGACTAAACTGAAGTCTAACTGGGATTGACCTCTAAAATGCCGTTTTACAACCCGATATTGTACTTCACTCCTATTGATACTGCCAAAACAAGTGATTTTACAAGTAGTTTCTTTCAGATGGGTGACGATAGGGTGAAGATTGCTGAGGCTGAATCATGCTTCGAAGAATTCGAATCACAGTTTGCAAAGGTGAGTACTTTGCTTTCCTAGTTATATTATGCTGGTTCTACTTAAGTCAAGGAGAGAGTGATTCTATGTTAATTACTTCCGACAACTATATCTTTGGGCTCTTAACATCATAGGTATACCCAGAATTATAGATAAGGCAAAAACAGTAATGTGCTAGGTCGAACCAAATGCGATTAAGCTAGAAAACTGTATGACAGTTAGTTGCGGTAATGAATGGAATGGACTCAAAGTGGTGAGTCATTGTAGATATTAGACAAAACAGGCGAAGTGAAAGAATAGGCATCAAGAACAACGAAAGATACAATAGCCTTGGAACAGCCAGCTGTGACAGAGAGGTAAATTTGAGTACCTGACTGAACCCTAACACTAATATTTTTTAAACTTAAACTGAACCTGATTCTAATTCATCCCTAAGCTTTCCTTTACCTAACGCTAACCCCAATCTTACTCTAACTTAGAATTAGAATAACCAACTTTGCCGTCTATTATTTCTACACTTTCAACGCTTTTTACGAATATAATGGTATTTACCCACTTTCACTGTCCTGCCCAGAATGAGCCTTTAGAACTGCAGAAACTGGAAATTGAAAACCACAAGATGGACATTCGAAAAGTCAAAATTGTTCAGACAGGATTTCCAAACCATAAAGAAAAATGTAGTCCAGATATTCCTCATTGCGTACATTTTTAATTTGTCTGATGAAAAGGAAGGCATTACTGTTACACCAACTTGGTCAATCTTGTTTCCATTAGTCATATATACTTTTTTATCTCAAATATAAAGTTTGTTGTCAAAGCATTATGTTGGGACTTAGCAACAGTCTAAAAAACAAACCACAGATGATTTATGTTGTTTTTCCAAATCGCAATTTTAGTTTTGTCTTTGAGAGATCATTCTTAGGTACAGTAACAAGTATTATTGTTGGTAGTAGAGACAAGTAAATCCCGTAGTCCGTTGTGATATATTTATGTGACTACATGAATTTATTTAGTAAAGACAAGGTAGAAAATTTTACTTCCTCATGTATTAATCATAAGCATGAACATAATTAATCTCATTGTTCCACCGGAAAACTGATCACTTTTAAGTAAACAACAGTAGTTTCTGTGTCTGCTTGATTCCGATCTTCAAAGAATTATTCCCTGAATACTGTTTTTTCCCACATTTGTCACTTGTATTATATTTACTATGGGAAAGAAATGTTCCAGCTATTCGTACATTTTATGTTAATCTTTAAAAGTGGTCAATTTCTTTCTCCATTTTCAGTTTTGTCACTGTACTTTACCGAACGATGTTCATAGTCAGTGTTTTATGTCTGGAACCGGGAATTATTCCCATCCTTTTACTGAAAGATATTTGCGTCGTACTGTGGATGAACAGCTAAGAGATCTTACACTTGAAAGCGAACGCAATCGGACGCGCACAGGTCGTGATCCTCAGAATAGTAACTTCGACAGAAACTCAATTTCCATTTTGCATCGGCGTGGAAGATTTGATTCACGTAGAGCTCAAGACTCTGTAACACAGTCGTCAAGTGAGTTACCTCAAAATTCTAATGAGTTTCTGAATGCAGGCGGAATCGCAGAGGCGGAAAGCAGTGACAACTTTCTTGTGGATGAAGAAGAAGCCGAAGCTACGGTTGCTACGGAAGAAGAACTTGATGGCACTGAATAAAATATACCACAATTAACTGGCATCGGGTTTTTTAGTTTCGTAACCTATTTTCGCTATCTAAAGCTTTAAATCGATTAGAGATTTTGTCAAATATGTCAATATATGCAAATTAGCTTATTATCATGATTTTATGAATTATTTGGGGAGTAAGTTTCCCGTCAGTGTCTGATAGGAATTCTTGCTTTTATTCAAGTCTGCAATAAGTTTCCATATATGGTGACAATAAATAGGTGTATTTCGTGAACGGCCATTTCCAATTAATCTCTTTCGAAAGTTGTGATTGTGAAGGGTTTCATGAATGCTTCATTTGAGAATCTGAATATATCAAATGTACATGCACACTGACTAATGCTTGTCTGCGTATACTTAAGAAACAAAGTGATTGACTAGATCGTTTATCGCATGAGGTAATGAAATATTCGTTCAAACTGGTCACTAATAAAATCTAGATAAAAGTATACAAAGGTCGTTTGCATTATTTTAGCCTGAATTTCTGTTAAGGTATTTGGCTGTCTGTCTCTTTCGGAGGACAGGCGTACTCATCTACAGTTTACTGTCGTGCGAATGAAAATTGCAACTCGGGGAGTAGCTATATAAGCTACAAATCTTCTCCATCATTTTCGACATTGAAAATTGAGGAATATAAAGTAACTCCAAGTAATAATAATAAATAAAAGTTATTCACATTTTATGTGTTTATCTGACCTACCAAGTGAATACTGTCCAGGTTGGGATGTAACTTTTCAGACGAAAAGTATTGCGCATTGAGTAGTTCGCTGTTATATTGAACATACACGTAGGATGAATGCATCCGAACATTTTATTGTTACTATTACTAATCCATGTATGGCGGTTTCTCTTCCGATTTTATCCTATTCATTTTGGTGCCTTTTATTCTTATTTCTTTACTCCTTCTGGTGTTTAAAGCTGCAACTTGAATTGATAAATTTTGCTCTTGGTTCTTACTTCCTTGATTATTTGAGATAAAGTCTAGTGTTATTGTTACTTCAACGTCATTTTACTTCCTTGTTAAACGATTTTTACCCTAGTCTTATTAATTTGTGTGTATTTGAAGGGAACAACCCAAAACTCACAGTTAGGTGTCTTTGACAGAAGGAAATAGTGTTATTGTGTGATTTCCTGGGGTTTGGTTAATCACGGTTGGGACCTATGCCTCACTGGCTGGAAGTCCGGTGCTTAAATTAACGAGTCGCAGCTCCAGTTGCTATGAATGGGAATTGTATTTACGTCGTCTAGTTTTACAGTTGAAATGCTTAGAATTTGATGTTCGAGGATTGCATAATATCTAGTCCTTTACTGGTAGCCGTTTTTCTGAGGTAGCTGTAAATGTTTCTGAATGATGCAAGTGCTGTGTTGTTTTCACTTGTTTGTGCTGTTTCTTGTTCGAAAATATATATATATATATATAGTCGTAGAAATTGTTTTATTTAAATCGTTGCTGAGGCAAAGTAGTCTTATGAAAATCAGTCATATGCAGGGCTGTTAACTACTAGATTAGTTTTTCGAAGGGAGCGATTTATTAGAAAAAGCAGTTAGTACTAATCTGTTGTCCGTGTTTTTATACTCTCGTGCTTGATCTTGATTATTCACTTTCAGCTCTTTTGTGTTTAACTTCCTATTGTTAGTACTTTATGAAATTCATGTGTGATCTACAGTTTTATTTGATCAAACAGTTGTCGTTTATTACATATTACATATGTTATTTGCCTGATTACATGTTGCCACCCTAAAAAGGCAACTCAGCAATTATATAAATGCCTGTACTAGTTACTGAATCGCACTTAGTTGTATGAACTTGGACTAGTATGGCGAATTCGGACACGTGGTATATTAGTCAGAATTTAACTACCTGTAGTCAAACATCGAAATAACCATAGGTTCATACTGTACGCATTTACTGATCATTGGTTTTAGTACTCATTTTTGAAAATTTATTGAGTCTAATATTTAATAAGATGTTCTGAACTGTTCTGTGGAAATAAATTCTTTTGATGTAATGTTGAAGAAAATTAAATAACTTTCTCACTTGTGGCTAAACCATTCAATTTGTACTACTGAGATATTTCAGTGACCAGAAACGATTTATACATAACAATTTATCACTTAGTTGTAAAAGTTTCTCTGCTTTTGTAATTGTTATTGAATTTGTATAAATAATAATAATGATCAGAAATACAAGTGTTTAAAATCCAGTTTATTTTTTGTGTCATCTGTCTTTTGTGTGTACGTTGTTCTGAAAGTGTGTTTATTTTGGGTTATTTGTGTATATGTGTGTGGGTGTATTGAAAAGTTACACATATAGTAATATGGATCTTCGAACCAGTCATTCATTCCTAAAATAGTCTATTATGAGGTTACAGTTGCTTTTATCTATCATGACGTGCTAGTAGTACAGTGGACTCTTATAAGGATATATTCCATGACCTTGCCTTTTTCACAGTTTACAGAGTTAATTATTTCATGAAATAAATTCTACTTAACAGCGAAAAAAAAGATTTAGCCAAACAGTGGGAGGTAATCGTATAGTATTATTATTCTCAAATGCTCATATATAGTGGAAAGGTGAAGCACTACGATACGGTAATGCCAGAAATCTTTGGTACAATCCGTCTAATAATATCATGATATTCATGTGTATACGGAAGGAGTCGAGAGCATTTCAAATTTCTAAGGGTAAACTACGACTTGGTGCAGACGTGTGTTAGTCCAAGAAGTAAGCAACACACACACAATAGATAAATTGGACACTTGGAATTACCTCTTAAGGATGTTACTACAGTCTGATACTGATGTTTTTGCAAACAGTATATTTGAATCAATAATTTGATGTTTGGAGTCATATCCTCCTAAAAGACTAAAGTATTGGAGTATGGTATGAAATATAGGAAAGCTATATTGCACTTCCTGCACATAACAACAAGTATTTTTTTAACATACATATGCTAGTTTAAATCAAAGTGTTGTAACGAAAAGGTGACTACTGTTTTTGGAAGGCTTACAACTATGCGTTTGTACTAGTTCATATTTAAGTAAAACTGGAATTGAGTTTATTTCTTTGGCCTTATGATAACAAAATGTTGATTATGAATGCATTTTATGTTAACAACTGTAGAAACAGCCCTAAAATTTTGTTCCTATCCGGGTTCATCTTCGTTACAGTAGAGGTTATTGGATTAATTATTTGTGTTATAGTCACTCACTAGTCATTCGCTAACACCAGAGTGATGACATTGTTGAGCCTAATAAAGTGACATTTCGTGTCATGGGCTGAAGGGGAATCGAGAACTAGTCATAAACCGAAGTG